TAAAAACAATATACAAAGCTTTATATTGATTTCATAAAATTATGGTTCTAATTAATTTTTTTATTTCCACAATTTATTGTATTCTTGATAAATAATAAAATAAAACAAAAATTACGAGATTGGTAAATTAACTCTCTAAAAAATCTTTTGTGAGAAGTATTTATAAAATAGACAATTTTAAACAAATAATCATTGAGTAGACTGTCTTTTGAAAAACTATTTATTTTGATTTATTTTCAATATTTTAAATTTATGTTGTAAAATAAAACTCTAAACTTATTTTTTAATTAGTCCAAAATAAAAAAAATTGAGAAAAAACAATGAAAAATATAAATGAAGCCGGCGATTTGGATGACCTTTTTGCAACATGAAATATGCATTTTTGGGTTACTTGCGGCTAAAACAGTAAAATCATTGTCTCATTTGATGTGATAGATAAATGATTAATAGGTAAACTTAAATTTCTATCTTTAAAAAAAAAAAAGAAGATCAATTTACAATTTTAAAATAAAAAAATAAGTTACAACAAATTTTATTTTTTATTTTAAATAAATAACAACTTTGCTTGGCTCCCCCCACGTAGATATGTATGGATATTATATATTCGATTATACAATTATTATATTTAGAGTTGCAAGTAACTACAAGACTATATTCGAATAATTTTTTTAAAAATAAATGTATTTTTAATTAATATAGATTTTTATTCCAATTAATATATGATATAGATCAAATTATTCAAATTTGATACAAAGAATTCAAGAGGAAAAAAAAATCTTTTAAGAAAATGATAGTTGAGCCAATCGTAAAATTAATATAAGGTTTAGGACTCAAACTATAGATTCTGTTTTCTAAAGTATATATAACGGGAAAAAATAATCGATTCGTTTGGTTTGAATAGAGTTCTAGATTTGATTGGTCTAGCTCAATACTTGTATGATTAATTTTGTTAGGCCGTGGGTTTAATTATTGTCAAAAATTGACTTAAACCAACTTTGCCTAAACATTGGCAAAAGGTATAACTTATCCAAAAGAATACAAAAGGAAGACACAGAAATTCAAAGTTGTAATTTCCTTAAAATAGAGACCGAGCAATTTAGGGGTGTTTTCAATCTTATAATAACAAAATTGGAAAAAAGAATCAAAATCCAACTTTGATCCAACGGAACAAAAATGGCTGTCCCCACTGTAAAAAGTCCCTCTGTAGCCTGACGTGTCCATTAAGTATAGCCAAAAACGCGTCTCTCACGGCCAGTTTTATTATTTCTATTATTATTATTATTTTATTATTTTATCTCACTTTTCTTTATTTTAAATAAAAATATGAAAGGAAAAAAAAATTGGGCGCGTTGACAAGAATGCGGACGCGGTGCACCACACTAACATGGGGCCCCCATCAGCGCCGACGATCCAGCCGAAGGACCGCGTGGGACCCACTTCCAAACTGGCTATTGATTGTCGCTTTCTTAGCGTGGGGCGTTGATCGTTGATATGATCTGACCTGGCGTCGGTTTCCCACCGTTGGATTGTGGATGATCGCCGTTGAATTTACGGCATCGGGAGGGTGATCAGCATCAGCGCTAATGTGGATGCGAGCAGCAGATCGAAATGCAGCGACGATGTTTGACTCGGTAATAAATGTAGGGTTGTTTSGGGATTTATGAATGTAGCGCATGTCTTAATTCGTTGATTACGTTAACCTGTCCTTTCTGCTGTAAGCCCGCTAGCATCATAATGTCTAAATTACCCTTTCAATTTTCTTAAAATCAATAATAACAATAACAATAAATATTTTTTTTGTTTTTTTAGCAAAATAATTTTGTATTTTGTATTTGGAGACAGTTATTTCTAATGTGCTCGTTGAATACCATACATTGCATGTCAATTCAAATATAGTTTAATAGACTCTATATGTGCTCTTTTTACAAAATTGACGATTTCTTTTTATTCACATTTGTTGAGGAAAAAAAAGAGGAAATAATACATTGCACAAATGATAGATAAATTGAGACACGTCTCAACCACCTTGGTACCTTGGTTGGGTGCAGGGGCGAATCTACGTAGGAGTAGGATATATATAGTACAATATGTAGAGGTGAAGATTCGAACTCACGACATCTTGACAAAAATACATACGTTAACCAATTAAGTTATGTTTAAATTGACTTTAGATAAATAATTGTAGGTATAATTGTATTCATGAGTATATAAAGTTACTCTGTGGTATGTTTTCGTGTTTTTAGTATTTTTTGTTAAAAAAAATTAATTAAACATTATTATTATTTTATTTAAAGTAAATAAAATTATTTACAATAAATTTATATTATAACATATATGTTATTTAATGAATTCAAAATCGTCCCGATATAAATATAAAATAATAATAAATATATAGTATTGTAGTTTTTGTTTTGGTTTCTCTTTTACACTACATATATCAAAACTAAATTTAATTATATTAAATATTTTACTAAATATTTTATGTTTCATTATATTTCTATTATATTCATATTTTCACTAATATTAAATTATGTCTATATATAAAGTTATGATTTTCAATACTTAGTTTAGAATACATTTTAATCTTTATACTAAATATTTTTCATTCCTAATGATTTATGGGAAATTATGTTGCTTTTCTTTTTAATGACTAATAAATTGTCGTACGTTTTTAAAATATACATTTTAGTCTGCGAGTTTTGAGAGATATGTTAAAATATAATTGTCTCTAAAAAAAAATATTAAACTTTAAATAGAGCTGAGTGACAAGCTTAATCATTTAAAAATAAAAAAAATAAAAAGAAATAGTTTATATCTCTTCTTATTGGTCACACCCATGTTCACTTCAACAACAACAATTTTTTTGTTGGTGGATGGACCATTGAAACTTATTTCTCAAAATTGATGGACTAAATTGCATCTGGTAAAAGTTGAGAAACCAAATTGATAACAACTTAGGGCAAAATGAGAATATTTCAATAATTCATTATAACTTTGTTTTTAATATTTACTTAAATGTGCATCTACTCCTCCCTTTGAGGTCAGAGGTTCAAACCTTCATTTACCCAATTTATTGTACTAAAAAAGTCTGAATATTTATAATAAATGTATTAAAAATTATAGTTGAATGAATTTGTGCCTCTATTGACATAAAATTCTTGATTCGCCATCGACTTGAATGTCATCTATACATTATAAATTATGAAGTGCATATCTCCTTGACCCTAGCAAAGCCTTTTTTTTTTAATACAACAAAGGTAAGGGTGAAGATTTGAATCCCCAACCTTAAAGGAATAAGCAAGATGACTTAACCATTGAATTATACTTATGTTAGCAAGATGCCCTATAAATTCTTATGCTTAATATTTTTAGTCAAAACCATTAACATAATTCTCAAATTGACCACACAAGCTCACACCACAATTAGGCCAGGAGAGTCCCTTTAACAAAATACCATCGAGATATAAATTAAACACTTTTAATAATATAGGTATACATGTATGTATATATTTCTTTTATATTTGTATTTCAATTGATTAGAGATATTAAAGATGTAATTTCAACTACAACATAGCTTATAATTAACTAAAAAGCTTTGAAATCTTTACTGTAATTAAAAAAAAAACAGTAGTCTTCTAATGCCCACCATCCATAACTTTAGGGCAATGATGAAAATGTTGAGCCTTAAGTTTATTTGAACGAATGGGCAGTTTGGTAAAAACAAAACTATTACAATTTTCTTTTAGAGTTTTAGAAAAGTTTAAATTCAAAATAAAATAAAAAAGGACATGAACGGCATGAAGTCTTTTGAAAAACACACGGTAGCCTCCCGTGAGCATCGGTATTCGGAAAAAGCAGTTTTGAATAATTTATTTATTTATTATTATTATTTTATCTTTTATTCTTATTATTTTTTGTATTTTCATATAAATTCCTTACCCAACGTGACGCCCACCTCATTTACTTCCTGCCCCTCCCTCTCTCTCTCTCTCTCTCTACTCTCTACTCTCTACATATGAACAAATTTCCTCCACAACTTAATATCTCATGATAAATCACACCAACTTCTCGTGATATTGCCGGCCTGCCGGGGGAACTCGCCGGACACGTCTTTTTCCCGGTCAACTCCGCGCCGGCTGACGGCACCACCACCGACTCTCGTTTAATTAATAGAGTTTTCGTAATGCTACGCCATAACTTGAATTTCCTAAGATGATGTGGGCAGKTTTGTAATTTCATTGATGGTTTATTCCAAGCGTTGGCTTATCAAGTTGAACGAGGAATAGGAATAAGAACACAACTATAACATACCGYATTGTATACCAATTCAAACAAAAAAAAAAATCAATTAGTTGTCTCGTGAAATTAGTCGAGGTGTGCTATAAGTTGGTCCGGACACTAACAGATATTAAAAAAATAAAATTATTTCCACCATGAGCTTTATATGAAAAATATTATAACTTATTACCACTAATTTAATAATAACCTTTAAACCTATCTCAATGAAAGTTAACACGGTATTGTAATAAAAATTATTTTGAATTCCTACCACATTAATTTTATAATAATTTAAATAAAATTGAAAATTAGATTCTTAATTTTCAATAAAATATTTATTGGTTGTGGTAATTATGGGCCAGTATAAAGAAATTGAACATCAATTAATAATAATTTAAACAAAATTGTGTCTATATCAAATTCTTATTAAATATTTATTTAAAAATGAGTGATATAATAATTGAAATGAAATGAATTTTTTTAATTGAAATTTACCTCAAAAAAAATTGAAATGAATTTTAAAGTAAAAGTTGATAAATTACGAATTTTTTTTAATAATTTAAGCATGAAAATAAAATAAATATACTAGTTGAAGAGATTAAATAAAAGGAGGGAAAAAGAGAATAAATTCTAAGAAGGGAAAAAAGGAATAATTGGAAAATAAATAAATGAATAAAAGAAAAGGAAAAAGAAAAAGAATCTGGTGGGCTTTGAGCTGTAATATAGCTGGCCCTTTTTTCCCGTATTATTTCTCCCTCACACATCTCTAAAATCCCTAGAACAAACCCTTCCTTCCCTTTATCTCTCCGCTCCACTCTCAAACCCTTTTATCCCTTCTTCTCTCTCTCTACATTTTGAAGCTTAGATCTCAAAGGGATTTTGAGCATTTTCTGCAAAATCAGCTTCCGAGAGAAAGAAGAAGAAGACGAAGAAGAAGAAAGTGGAAAGCAAGCAATATAAAGTGGCATTTCTGGAATCAGATGTCTCATGTGAGATGAAGAGRGAGACCCATTTCGACTTCCGTCKTCTGCTCCGCATTGTCTTCTTCCTCGGCACTTTTCTGTGCCTCTCTTCAGCTTCTGAAGAGCTTCAAATTTCCAGCCATGGCGGCGCCCTCACTGACGCAGAAGCCCACTTCATCCGCCAGCGCCAGCTCCTCTATTACAGAGACGAATTCGGCGACCGCGGCGAGGAGGTCACCGTCGATCCTTCCCTCGTCTTCGAGAACGACAGAATCAGAAATGCTTATATAGCATTACAGGCTTGGAAGAAAGCGATTCTCTCTGACCCTTTCAATCTCACTCTAAATTGGGTTGGATCTGATGTCTGTAGCTACAAAGGGGTTTTCTGCGCTCCGGCGCCGGATAACTCCTCGATCCGTACCGTCGCCGGAATCGACCTCAACCATGGCGACATTGCCGGTTACTTGCCGGAGGAGCTCGGTCTTCTTGTAGATCTTGCATTGTTCCATATAAACTCCAATCGGTTCTGCGGCACTGTTCCTCACAAGTTTAAGAACTTGAAGCTCCTCTTCGAGTTGGATCTGAGCAACAATCGGTTCGCCGGGAAGTTTCCCCGGGTGGTTCTTGATCTTCCGGCGCTGAAGTTTTTGGATCTGAGGTTCAATGAGTTCGAGGGAACTGTCCCTAAGGAGCTGTTCGACAAGGATTTGGACGCCATTTTCATCAACCACAACAGATTCCGGTTTGA